GGATTTTATTGGCATCTTTGACCTCTTCACGCAGAGCAGTTTCAGATTCATCCACTTCTTCCATCCCAGATTCCAATGGTTTATCTGAAACCACTTTAAAATCTTGCTCATCTTGATTTTCGTGAAGGTTTTCACTTTGAGGAATTAAATGCAGTAATTCTTCAGGTCTTGTAGCCTCTGTTTCTGACATTTCTGTTGTTTCAGGGGTTTCATCACCAATTGCATCTTCATCTTTAAATTCCTTATCACGCTGTCTTCCTTTATTTCTACGAGTGGATCCCATTTTTCTTCTATTCCCCCTGGATTCGGTGACCGCATGGGATTGCTTATCTGTGCTCACAGTATTGTCCTGAAGTTGGGACTCAAAAGGTGGAGTTGCTAATGAGGTTGGAGATTGTGGAGAGACTCCACCACCTTTGCTGTCTGAAATGTCACCTTCCTCGTTTTCTTGAGTCACAAAGTGCTGTTCAGGTTGTTTGTCATCAGGAGTTGAAACTTCCACTTTGGTTACAGATTCATCAGGACTCTGCACCATCACTTGAAACTGGTATGTGTTGCTATTTTCAGTTTGGCCTAAGTCTCCAGAAGTAAAGGAAGAGTTTTCTGTGGCATCATCAATCACATTTTCAGATGAGAAATCATTCTGCAGCACTTCTTGAATTTCTGTTCTTTCAACCTCATCTTCATGCATTTTCCTGACAGTTTCATCTGAGTGATTGGCATCTTTGACCTCTTCACGCAGAGCAGTTTCAGATTCATCCACTTCTTCCATCCCAGATTCCAATGGTTTATCTGAAACCACTTTAAAATCTTGCTCATCTTGATTTTCGTGAAGGTTTTCACTTTGAGGAATTAAATGCAGTAATTCTTCAGGTCTTGTAGCCTCTGTTTCTGACATTTCTGTTGTTTCAGGGTTTTCATCACCAATTGCATCTTCATCTTTAAATTCCTTATCACGCTGTCTTCCTTTATTTCTACGAGTGGATCCCATTTTTCTTCTATTCCCCCTGGATTCGGTGACCGCATGGGATTGCTTATCTGTGCTCACAGTATTGTCCTGAAGTTGGGACTCAAAAGGTGGAGTTGCTAATGAGGTTGGAGATTGTGGAGAGACTCCACCACCTTTGCTGTCTGAAATGTCACCTTCCTCGTTTTCTTGAGTCACAAAGTGCTGCTCAGGTTGTTTGTCATCAGGAGTTGAAACTTCCACTTTGGTTACAGATTCATCAGGACTCTGCACCATCACTTGAAACTGGTATGTGTTGCTATTTTCAGTTTGGCCTAAGTCTCCAGAAGTAAAGGAAGAGTTTTCTGTGGCATCATCAATCACATTTTCAGATGAGAAATCATTCTGCAGCACTTCTTGAATTTCTTTCTTTCAACCTCATCTTCATGCATTTTCCTGACAGTTTCATCTGAGTGATTGGCATCTTTGACCTCTTCACGCAGAGCAGTTTCAGATTCATCCACTTCTTCCATCCCAGATTCCAATGGTTTATCTGAAACCACTTTAAAATCTTGCTCATCTTGATTTTCGTGAAGGTTTTCACTTTGAGGAATTAAATGCAGTAATTCTTCAGGTCTTGTAGCCTCTGTTTCTGACATTTCTGTTGTTTCAGGGTTTTCATCACCAATTGCATCTTCATCTTTAAATTCCTTATCACGCTGTCTTCCTTTATTTCTACGAGTGGATCCCATTTTTCTTCTATTCCCCTGGATTCGGTGACCGCATGGGATTGCTTATCTGTGCTCACAGTATTGTCCTGAAGTTGGGACTCAAAAGGTGGAGTTGCTAATGAGGTTGGAGATTGTGGAGAGACTCCACCACCTTTGCTGTCTGAAATGTCACCTTCCTCGTTTTCTTGAGTCACAAAGTGCTGCTCAGGTTGTTTGTCATCAGGAGTTGAAACTTCCACTTTGGTTACAGATTCATCAGGACTCTGCACCATCACTTGAAACTGGTATGTGTTGCTATTTTCAGTTTGGCCTAAGTCTCCAGAAGTAAAGGAAGAGTTTTCTGTGGCATCATCAATCACATTTTCAGATGAGAAATCATTCTGCAGCACTTCTTGAATTTCTGTTCTTTCAACCTCATCTTCATGCATTTTCCTGACAGTTTCATCTGAGTGATTGGCATCTTTGACCTCTTCACGCAGAGCAGTTTCAGATTCATCCACTTCTTCCATCCCAGATTCCAATGGTTTATCTGAAACCACTTTAAAATCTTGCTCATCTTGATTTTCGTGAAGGTTTTCACTTTGAGGAATGAAACTGTTCAAGCTAATCTCAGGATGGCTTGTTGCTGTTGGGTTCTGGACCTCAGGAAAATAAGCAGGTGTAGACACTGTAAAAATGGAGCTGTCATGTGGCACAGACAGACAAACGTCATGATCATTTCTTTGCAGTAATTCTTCAGGTCTTGTAGCCTCTGTTTCTGACATTTCTGTTGTTTCAGGGTTTTCATCACCAATTGCATCTTCATCTTTAAATTCCTTATCACGCTGTCTTCCTTTATTTCTACGAGTGGATCCCATTTTTCTTCTATTCCCCCTGGATTCGGTGACCGCATGGGATTGCTTATCTGTGCTCACAGTATTGTCCTGAAGTTGGGACTCAAAAGGTGGAGTTGCTAATGAGGTTGGAGATTGTGGAGAGACTCCACCACCTTTGCTGTCTGAAATGTCACCTTCCTCGTTTTCTTGAGTCACAAAGTGCTGCTCAGGTTGTTTGTCATCAGGAGTTGAAACTTCCACTTTGGTTACAGATTCATCAGGACTCTGCACCATCACTTGAAACTGGTATGTGTTGCTATTTTCAGTTTGGCCTAAGTCTCCAGAAGTAAAGGAAGAGTTTTCTGTGGCATCATCAATCACATTTTCAGATGAGAAATCATTCTGCAGCACTTCTTGAATTTCTGTTCTTTCAACCTCATCTTCATGCATTTTCCTGACAGTTTCATCTGAGTGATTGGCATCTTTGACCTCTTCACGCAGAGCAGTTTCAGATTCATCCACTTCTTCCATCCCAGATTCCAATGGTTTATCTGAAACCACTTTAAAATCTTGCTCATCTTGATTTTCGTGAAGGTTTTCACTTTGAGGAATTAAATGCAGTAATTCTTCAGGTCTTGTAGCCTCTGTTGCTGACATTTCTGTTGTTTCAGGGGTTTCATCACCAATTGCATCTTCATCTTTAAATTCCTTATCACGCTGTCTTCCTTTATTTCTACGAGTGGATCCCATTTTTCTTCGTTTCCCCTGGATTCTGTGACCGCATGAGATTGCTTATCTGTGCTCACAGTATTGTCCTGAAGTTGGGACTCAAAAGGTGGAGTTGCTAATGAGGTTGGAGATTGTGGAGAGACTCCACCACCTTTGCTGTCTGAAATGTCACCTTCCTCGTTTTCTTGAGTCACAAAGTGCTGCTCAGGTTGTTTGTCATCAGGAGTTGAAACTTCCACTTTGGTTACAGATTCATCAGGACTCTGCACCATCACTTGAAACTGGTATGTGTTGCTATTTTCAGTTTGGCCTAAGTCTCCAGAAGTAAAGGAAGAGTTTTCTGTGGCATCATCAATCACATTTTCAGATGAGAAATCATTCTGCAGCACTTCTTGAATTTCTGTTCTTTCAACCTCATCTTCATGCATTTTCCTGACAGTTTCATCTGAGTGATTGGCATCTTTGACCTCTTCACGCAGAGCAGTTTCAGATTCATCCACTTCTTCCATCCCAGATTCCAATGGTTTATCTGAAACCACTTTAAAATCTTGCTCATCTTGATTTTCGTGAAGGTTTTCACTTTGAGGAATGAAACTGTTCAAGCTAATCTTAAGATGGCTTGTTGCTGTTGGGTTCTGGACCTCAGGAAAATAAGCAGGTGTAGACACTGTAAAAATGGAGCTGTCATGTGGCACAGACAGAGAAACATCATGCTCTTTTCTTTGCAGTAATTCTTCAGGTCTTGTAGCCTCTGTTTCTGACATTTCTGTTGTTTCAGGGGTTTCATCACCAATTGTCAACTGTCTTCCTTTACTCTTTTGAGTGGATCCCATTTTTCTTCTTTTCCCAATGGAGTCATCGACAGTATGGGTTTGCTCACTTGAAGTCACATTATTGCTTTCAAGTTGGGATTCCAAAAGAGTATTTACTTCAGATGGTATAGTTTGTACTGAACCATTTCTCATATCAACATCACTGTCCTCATTCTCCTCATTTAGAGTTTCTAAATGTCCTTCTTTTCTTTGATGCTCACTTTGTTTGTAATTATTTGACACAGAATCATCAACAGACTTGTTAGCATTGCTGATTTCAGTGGCTACCAACCGACTAACTGCTATGTCAGTGATCACTTGTTGCTTGGAATCATACATCTGAATATCCTCATTTTCGTCCTGTAAGCTCTCCCGATGTCTGTTATTTGTAGGATATGCATATTGTTTTTCATTCAGATGTTCCTGCTCTGTGTGAAATACATTGTTTTTTACTTTCATGTCAGATGAGTGAGTATCCATCTCAGTTTGGTCTTCTGGTTTTTCAGAGTAAGTAACAGCATTTTCCGTGACATCACTACCCTGAATTTTAAAGGAGTACTGATTTTGGTACATGTCCTGTATTTCTATGGGCTTAATGTTCACTTCATGTATTTTATTCATAGCACTTTCTGATTGCCATGCTTCTCTAACTTCAGATAAGCTACAAGGATCCTCATTTGCAGTCAACTTCTCTTTTGATGATGAAAATGTTTCCTGCTCAGCACTGCACACGACTTCAATATTTTGTTCCGGGCTGTTTTTATCTGTGGTTATGTTTGGTGTGACTGCCTCTAAAGCTTCAAATTCTACATGTGACTCATTTACCAAGTTGTTACCCTGTAACCTTCCATCCTGCCTGAGCATCTTCTTGTCATCGCTTTCTGTACTTTGTATTTCTGCTACAGAATACGCAGTTGAAGGCTCCTCATCTGGCACGTCACTGGATGACTGTTGAGCCACAGGATGCATGTTTTCTTTGATTTCTTCACTTTGCGTGTCAGATTTGTCAATCTCTTCAAGCTTGATTTCATTTCTACAAGGGTTGCACTCTTGCAGATTGATTTCAGGAGTTAACATTTCCATTTCACCCTCAGAATTTTTATCATGTGTACTTTCTGAACAGTCCTTAGCTAGTGCAGACACATGATCACTTCCTTGACCGAATTCTTCCTGCTGCTTAAGTTCCACTGCCCGTGGCGTTTGTATTGTTTCAAAGGTTTCATTACCCCTGCTTTTTTCCTCAAGTTCCTTTCCAGGGTTGCGGTAAGGTTCAGTTTCTAAATCATTTACCAACTGCTTTCCTTTACTGCGCCGATTAGACCCAATTTTTCTCCGGTTAAATGTGACCTCTGCTGAAGGTGGATGTCGAGTTTCTGGTTTAGAATCCTCTCGGCTGGATAAAACATTTAAAGATTCAGTACTTTCGTCTGCTGCGTAGCCTTGTGCCACAGAGGAAGCTTCTGTTAAGTGGTACTCATCAGCCTTAGGTACTTCATTTTGGCTTTGTGCCACTCGTCGTGACCCAAGTCGCTTTTTCTTTGCATTTTGCGAAGACATGACTTGAAATCCTTTCTCCTAAACATGAAATATTCAGTCATGTAATGTATTTGCAAATCCAGTTGCAATCTACAGCATACAAATTTAGAACAGAACACTAAAAGTAGTTGACTGAATATAAAAAAAATAAAAAAATATTCAAAACAATGCGAGACACCAATATACATTAACATGTGCACCAAATGTGTTAACACCAAATGTTAGGCAAGCAAGTGAAAACGCTGCCGTTAACTAAACTGCAACTATTTCATTTACCTAAACATAAGATTGATGAGTTGCGTAAATTTAGCTAAATGTCTTCTACAAAAAACAAAACTTATAACACCACGTGTACTTACCACCGAAATCTGGCAACTCCTCGTGTCACAGCATGAGCTGCTGTGTTATGTCAAGTCATGCCTCTGTTCAATAGGAGTTACATTTCACACATGGGGGTGTGTTTCAATGGCAACTGTGTCAAGCTTCCTGTGTGGGCTACATTTGCAGCAAACTATAGTACTTCCTGAATTTAAAACGGGTTCATTTTCAGCATTTGCCTTTTTAGTTCTAGTATATGCAACTATGAAAACAAAGCAAATGTTACAGAAAACTCACCTTGGAAAAACATTTATTGAACAAGATGTTAAACTGTATCAGTACATGTTGTTGGAGCTCAGACATTCAAAGAAAAAAAAAAAGAATCTAGTCAATGCTTTCTTTCGCAAAGGAAGGCATTTAAAAAAAAATTAATTACAGATGATCATGTTTTAGGGATAGACTACAATAACAGCACCATATTTACAGCATTTGTTAAGAGTCTTCCTTTCTGTTACTGGTATGAGAGAAAAAAAAACCACACCACTCCCTCTATACCATGTCACAGTAACCCGAGCAAGAATAGTAAAATAAATAACCAAACCAAAAAAAGGAAAGAAAATGAAATGATGACTTTAAACAGTTTTAAAAAGAAAAGTAAAACCAAGTACTCATTTTCAAAGCATGCAGGGCAAGACAGAATTTAACAAAAAAACAAAAAAAAAACCCAAACAGTTTACACCTTTCTTGATCATTCAACAGACCATTAAGACCCAAACATGGCCAACCTTAAATTGCCATGAGCTACCCAACAAAATCTAAAAAGAAAAGACTATAAAAATGTACTTTTTTGTAACCATAGCATAAGCCGGTAGATGAGCTTTCCAAGATCTTCATTTCCTCTCATTAGACCGGGAACGACTGTAAAACAAACCAACCAGTGAATAAATGCAAAATTGATGGGGAAAAAAATTGTTAGCTTAATATTAAGTTTGAAGTTCAAGAACAATAAATATAAAAATTATTTTGATTTACCTCCTCGATCGTGAGAAGGATCTTGAGCGCTTACGGTTCTTCTCTCTGGAAGCAGACCGATATCTGCGTCTATCTCTTGAAACAGACCTGAAAAAAATGTTTTTAACGATTTTTATCATTTGCCATAGACAAATGTGTGGCGCAAAAAACCCCCCCCCAAAAAAACAAAAACAAACAAAAAACAAAAGACAAATGGTGACATGGCTACCTGCTGCGGCTGCGGCTGAGGCTCCGTCTCCTTGGCGATCTACAATGTAGGGGAGGGGGGAGGAGTTAAAAAGAAAATTAAGAAGAAAACATTTTTTTAGAAGTATTAAGAGAGCATATTTAACATTTCCCATCTCTAATACAACCTTTGAAATTAGTTTTTCTTGATCCCTACAGAAACATGGGTTACATGTGGAAACGTGGTTACACGTACTTCCTGGACTGTTAACAGAATGATCATCTGTATCCATGAACTGGTCAAATGTTTATAAGGAAACTTTGTCCAATGAACACAAATCATGGAGCAAGATATCAGAATGTAAAACAAAATCAAGGCTCGGCATTAAGGCTTGTCTGAGAGAAAGACCAAACAAATTATGTGACAGCTTTTTTCCTTTTTTTTTTTTTTTAAACCAAGCATAAAAACATTCTTCAATCACCCATCTACTGTGATCCTCCTTGTGCACAATGTTCCCCAAAAAGTAAAATACCTCCTTTAGCAGCAACACAGGAAAGACTGATTATTTTTGTTTTTTGTTAAAAGAAACTTTGATGTGGGACACATCCTAAAGCAACGAAAAATAGGGTAACCTACAAGTAAAAGGGTCTTTAAACCGAAAAAACAAACAAACAAAGAAATAAAACAAAAAAACAAAAACAAATTAAAACTGCAAAGAAAAAAAGTTTACTTCCTGTGGTTATCACTCAAGATAGCTTAATGTCGAGCCCTGAAAATGCACTCAGTAGAACAATTACAATGAACACCAGATAAATGTAGTTCATTTTTGAAATGGAAATTAAAGAATGGTGGTCAAAATTCCTTGACCGGTTTTTGCAGCACTGCACTGAATTTTCTCCAAATTACATAACTGCTGAAGAAAACTGTCAAGCAGCTATGAAAGCTAGATTAAGCATTAAAACTACAAAGAGCAGGATAAAAGAAACTTACTATTTTTGGGGGAATTGGACAAGATAGAAATGACGCAAGGAAGCCAGACTGATGGTGAGGGAGGTCGAATTGCAGAGAAGATTTGCCACAAGATGCAAATGTTGGAGATATGAAGTTGCCTGGTGGCTGGTTCGAGGGGGGTAGTTGTAGATTTTCCCTGCCTTTTTTGGGGGGTGGGGGATGGGAAGGGATGTAAGCCAAGGGCTGTCCCCGCTGATACAGTAGATGTTTGGAGAATAGAAAGAGTAAAGACGCTGATTGGCTGATAATGTGAAGTGGACCGCTGTCGATTGGGTAAAGGTTGGAGGAAGGAGGAGGATGCTGGGAACTGCATGCTCAGGAACCAAAAGCTTGGTGGAACCTGACGACTGGCGGTGCGCCTGGGTCATGTGACAACACCAGCCAAGCTGATTTGGGCTCACTGGTCAGCAGTCACATGATGCTGAAAGAAGACTAGTTGATTGACTCAGATGGTGAGAAGCGTGGTGGTGACTCTGAAACGGGGTTCAGTTTTATTAATAGATGGCAACTGAACTCAGAAAAAAAATATAAATAAAATTTACACCTGCAGAATGTAAGTGTAAAAATATTTGATGGGAGATGAAGGGCTAACTATGCTTCTGAAGATGTCTTTGTAAAATAATATCACTCTGGCAGAGCTTGTTGTTTCAACAGTTATATTTTAATAAAAGATTTAACCGTTTACATAACCTGCCACTAAAATACCCTTGAAAACAATAAAAAAAAAAAAATTGTATCAAAATTATTACTTCAATCTTCGTGGGATCAGGGGCCGTATTCACAAAATATCGAAAAGCTTGAATGTAGCTCTCAAGTGGCCAATTAGTAGAAACATGAAAACGAAAAAAACTAAACAAAACACTCATCACTTGCTGGGTTGGGGGAGACGGGTTAGAAACTCCAGAGCTCTGTCTTATAGAGCCTGAAAATAATGTACTTAATTTTGGTGAGAAAGCTGGCAGGACAGGACTTGTTGAATGTGAATTCACCGGGCATTACCCGACTGTACTCACAACAGCACAATCACATGTCCAAAGAATAGTTGAGATCTCCAGTTTATGAGCGAAAACTGTAATGAAATGAGTGCCTACTATGTAAATGTTTTTTTCCCCCCTCTTTGCTTTAGTCTGGCACTTTTAGTTTGCTTTAAAAAGAAAGTATGACACTTTGTGAATACAGCCACAGATTTTTTTTTAATTTTTAAAGAAATAAAAAAGGCAAGAACGCTTGAATGCAAGTGTGCAAACAATTTGTTTCAAGCTGTCAGAAACTTGATTCCTTGCTTAGTTTCAGTTTAGACTATGACAAAACTAAAAATAGATGGTAAGAAACTAGATTTTTGCCAATATATTTGGCCATTTAGTCGATCTAAAACTGTTTTGCCAAAATCAGAAGCTGAAAAAATAAGTGTGTATTTAATGAACGTGTGCTTTGTCATTTGTACTCTTATTGAACACTGCAAGTGAGAATTTTGTTTGAAAAAATGTCTACAGATAAATAAAACAGTAAAATAACTGTCAAGTAGGAAATGCATACCTGCGTCTAACAGGAGGACTGCGTCGCCTAAAATCATCTCGAGGGTATCGGCTCCAGGATGGAGGAGGGCCACGGCTCCTGGAGCGCTTTTCTCCAGTGGATAACTCAACGCGTACTCGACAGCCACACATGGTTCTGAACAGAAGTCAACAAATGAGCAGAAAGCAATGCAAAAATCAAACACAACTACTAATAAGTGTAGCATGTTGAAGGAGTTACCTGCCATCCAATTCTCTCACAGCATCTGAGGCATCTCTGGGATCTTCAAACTCTACAAAAGCAAAACCTGGGGGATTCCTGGCAACCCAAACACTTCTTAGAGGACCATAGTAACCAAACGCTCTTTCCAACTCCGTCTTATTTCCATTGTTTCCCAGATTCCCGACATAAACCTTGCAGTCGAGGGGACAGTCTCGATGAAAAGCAGGGTCTTAAAAGTGACAGAAACACAAACACCCATCAAACGATGAAGTAGAACAAATTACGTATCATTCATCAAAATGTGCAAATTAAATGTAAATTATGTTAACCTTCATTAAAATATTTTATTTTTCTATGTTGACTAATCCAAAGTCCTTCCAGCCTCAAAGTTTTCTGATCTACTGTACATAGCCTTACTTTAAAAGACTTATTTCTGCAGCCAACCATGTAAAATAAAGTCAACTAATGCCATTCCGTGTTTAATTTTATTTCACCAATTTTCAACTTCTTTTTATTGAATAAACAATCAAGCAAAAAAAATAAATAAATAAATAATAATAAAGCTGGGGTGAAAGCTCAGTCTACCGCCCTGCATCTTAGACTGTCCACAGAAAGAGCTTAATAAAGTGCTTTGAGTACTACTATCATGATAGTGATGGAGCCACATGTAACTAGAGTGTGAAAAAAAATTTGACGAGACAGCATGAGTCCACCATGACACAGAACAAACAGTGGTTGTGGTAATTCAGTAAATGGTTTTGTCTTCTTTAACTTGTGTAATGTGCACATATTTAGAGAATATAATTTTTTATTGACAAACTCATTCATTGGAGTCACCATCTGTTAGCTTTGCAGTGTTTGAATTAGGGGCTGTGTCCAGCAAAGTACTTTTTACCTGACGATAATGCTAGGCCATCCTCTGAAAATGTCCAGCTGAGAATACTTGAGAGCACTTAGAAGTCACCGCACATTTTCAGCACAGACAATTTGGTTGCTATGATACATAACATCTACTTTACCTGACTGCTACTGACCTGGTGAACGAACTGAACGAACTGTTCTTCTAGACCTTTATATTTAACATCAATATTGTGGTAGACATGGATACTCAGAGAAGCAACATTCACTTCTCATCCATTGTTGCTCAGATGGTTGTCAGCATGTGTGCAATGGGAAAGCCTGTCTGCATGGCATTTGTCCCAGTTCTGCTTGATGGGGTAAAAAGTGACAAGCACAGCTTTCTATCAAAAGTTCAAGATGTTAAGGCCTGGCAACCAGCAAAACAACCCAATCACAAAGCTTGGGAGAGATGCTCAGTGCCCCATTGCTGCTGGCGTTTTAACAATACCATCAATACATGCCACTCCTATTCCAAGCAATTCCAAGAACATTGCTCTTAGGAACTACGCTGGCCTCAGGAAAAAAATACTTTGGTCTTTGGACACACCCCTTAAGTTCACAAATACTGTAATTCTTTTAAAGTCACTTAGCATGTTCTGTGTTGTTTCATGGGACACCAGGGCACCTCCCTACTGCAAAACAAAGCAAGAAAAGCTACACGACTAACTGAGTTGTCATACCTCCCATTTCAAATTTATTCTTGTTTAAGTCCAAGACTCTGTTATCCCTGAAAAGAAAATAACAAAACAAAATTACAAGAAACAGTTACAGTCAAACAGCTCTGAGAACAGTTAATCTATGGCCCCATTTAAAGCTGGTATCAGTGAATTGTTATATTTGCATTCACTTTGCAGCACTGCAAAGCCTTTTCTAACAAAGAGTCTCATTCAGGTTTATACATGACTGGGTTGCTTATAACTGCAGTACCTACACAGGATTTTTAAATATTTAACAACCGCACACTTAAAAAAAAAAAATCCAAAGCCAACGCGTGTCTTTTTGGGGGTGGGGCGGTCTCTTTAGTGCTTCTTTGGTGCTTTTCGGATGAATGGTGAATAAAACTATGTTGGTTAATTGGTCAGAGGTATATAATATATAATACAACAATAAGCTAGAAAATGGGGTGGCTTCTATTAGCAGACTCCTGAGCCTTAACACTGGCTATATATTTCCAGGCTAACAGCACCAAAAATAGTTCGCTTTAGCTTGATTGTTGACGGGTAACATTAAAATTGGATTTTAGTTACTCTAAAAAGACATTTCCTCTGAATATTACAAATTACTTTTGAGTCCAACTTTTCATCCGAACGATAATGCAGCAAAGTTTTCCACCACCCTCCAAAACCAACCATGCGAGGATTAACGTTACGCTAGCAAATTTAGCATTTATTACCGCGAAACGATTTACAAAAGAATTCGTCGCGATGCGAATCGGCATCCTAGCTGAATTCACACGAGAAACGTGTGGAAGACCGAACCTACCTTCCTGTATGGAATATAACTCACCTTTTTACAGCTAAAACTCAACAAAAAACCGCTTGCAAAAGATTTCACGCCACTCGTTTGAGCAGCAGGCCTAGCCTGTTAGCTTATTAGCGCCTCGAGTAAAGCGGAAGAGCAAGGGGGAAAAAAGAAAAAGCCCACTCTTCTTCTGCGTGTGTAAAACGCCATTAAAACACCGATAAATGTCTATACTGCCACCTACTGTACCAAAGTGGAATGTCTGCCACAACACATTAAACTAGCAAATATGTGAGATCTTCACCCAACTTTTATAACAGAAAAATGTAACCAGAGAAAGTTTAGAACATTTTACATGACTGAATTTTTTAAAAAGCGCCTTTACTTCCATCATCACATCATTATATTTAAATATTACTGTTATATGTGTTACTTCATAGGATAATCAAGGTATAATAAAGTGAACCAAGCTGCTATTAGTCTAAGGAGCGACTGGACTTTAAGTTTTGTGAAGACGTTTCACTTCTCATCCAAGAACTTTCTTCAGTTCTAAAAGCTGCTATTACATTGAGTTAAACTTCATAATCCCTTTTAGTCTACCTTGGCTATAGGTAAACCTATCCCTGCCCCGAGCCACTTTAATTTATATCTACACTGTTAAAAACAAACTCAAAGCAAGCTTATTTGTAAAGGGCATTGTTTCATTTATTCATAGAGGTCAAGTAAAATGCACAACCATGTAAAAAAAGGGGATACAAGTTGAACTAGTAAAACTATAGCCTAACTTTACATTTAAACTATGTACACCATGTACTCTATATACCGCAATAACACTTATTTTTTTAAAATGATCTAAGAAAAAAAGTGTTATAACTGTGGAGACTGGCCAGATGTCATACTCTTGCTTCTGTCTTCTTACTGGTGCTTTTCTTTTCAGACCTTATCTGTGCTACAAGGCTGAAGATTTTTTTAACATCTGTTCTTGTTCCTGTGTCCTGTAGCCGGTAATCTTTTTCAGATATTTACTGCAATACTAGATTTCCCCTGTGTAAACACGTAAGGCTCTTCTGCCTGAAAAAATATCGTCCTTTCTTCCGCCATGTCAAGCTAACCTTTGAAAAAATAAAATGTCAAGATGTTCTTATTATTGTGAGATTTTAAACCCCATCACCTCATGGAAAAAAGGAAAAAAAAAACGTTAGAGGTGTTCAATGGAAATAACTGAAACTGAAAATAATTAGTCAAAAATGTTTAAATAAAAGCACAAATGCTATCAGAGGAATTGCAGTGATATCTATAAATGAACACAGGCCATTTTTATACATACATAGAGTACATATACATTAAACACATATTAGTGCATTTACTCAAGAAAAAAATATTATAATGCTTGTATTTTACTTAAGTGTTTCCATTTTATGCTGCATTACACTTCTACACCACTCTAATTTAGTGTTTGTGAGTTGTGTTGTAGCTCTACAACAAAAAAGGATTTTACACTGTTTCCTTCAAACTCTTGATGCTTTAGTGATGTAACACTTGCTTGAAGTAATTCAAATATGTGTAGCAATTCTTGTTTCTTCCTTTATTTACCCCCTTTTTCAAGCATCTAACAAACCCTCGGCCTTAACTATGACCCTGACCTTTTGACTGTCCTCAGATTTTTAAAGAGAAATTTGATTACCGTCTTAACGTTTGGCTGCAGTAATCACTATTATGATAAGAAAATGCACAGACTCAAGCATGAAGCCCACTGTCTAGATAAAAATTCACTGCAAATGTTTTTGCTGTGGCACATAAAATGTAGTCATAGTACAGATACGATGTTTTCTATGTTCTGTGACAAGAATCGCACAGTTTGCTCAGTTTGACCTTAAGAAGATAAAGCAGTGCAAAAACAGCTGCCTGCCATTTAGTAGTTACATAGGAACACAAGTAAATCAACAGACAGGGCTATTGCTCAACACATGTGACCTCTTAGAAGCGCGCAGGTGGGTGGGTAGATAATGTATGTACACTTCCCGTATAGAGGCGCATTCAAGACGAAGTGTGGAAAAGGGGGAAGAATTGTGTAACAGAAGTCTTCATGCATCTCTGACCATGAGGCTTACCTCAGGTCACAAAGGGGCACAGTCAGAGAAAAATTAGCAGCTCAGTCTTTATTTATTGCACGATGGATGGATGAATAGGGAACTCTGTTTTGCTTGTTCTCCAACGTTATGTGTAACCATATGTGTAATCTTTAATTAGACACATATTGGAGACATTAATGTTTCATTTAAACTTGTTGTGAAACACCCTGATTTGTATCCCATTCTGACACAGTTTGTGATAACAGTGTTGTGATTTAACTGTCTAACATGTCTGGTTAAAGCCAATCGGATTCAAATTAGTTTTTGAGCAATTAGTCATTTCAACCTCATGCTTTTGGTTAATGATTGCCTGACGTGACAGGTTAAATTGCTGTGTACTAAACTTCTTAGTGATCGACACCCTATGTAATAATTAAGAATAATAACCCTTATTACCACAAGTTTGTAGAGCGGTGGTATCACTACTTTAAACTTTTTTTTACTGAACTGGGCTCTAAGGAGGTCAGGAGGGAAACTATTTAGTGGATGGCAAATGGTTTACAATAACTTCATGTACAGCAGAGGGGTTTGTGGGACTCCAAATTATGATGACATTGTGTCAGTGACAACAATCTGATCATAAATGTTCAATGAACGTGAGAAAATGCAGAAAAGACCACAGAGCGTTGTCATTGGATCATTGGATGCCCTGTGCATAAACAGATATACTCAGCAGCCATTTCATTAGGTATGTATAGCTTAAAAGTACACTCTGTCCTCACAGTCCTACGATGAAACATCCTTTCATAAAGCAAATAAGGGAAGTTTTGACTCTGTGTTATGATTCATTTGAATGTCGCAGCTGGTTTTATTACACTGACAGGTGTTTCTATCACTTTGTTCATTGATATAAACTCAATGAAATGCAGAAACCTATTTGGGATTTTTAATATATAAAAAAATGAAATAAAATAAAATAAAATCTCCTTTACAGTTGCATTCTGTTTTTGGGATTTAAATCAGATATTTCCTGTGGCAGTTTACTTAGAACACATCCAAATACTGTGTGAAAGCCCTGATTTAAAAAAGTCTTCAGCTGATTTGAAATGATTTCAAAAAAGTTTCATTCTCTCCGAGACTCAAAACAAACCATTAAGCTCCTGTTTTTCTTTTAACTCAAAAACAAAAGGAAATTAAAATTTTTCCTCATCAGTTATACAAAGTGATAAATGTCAGACATAACATAAAACACACCAAAACTGAACTATGCTGACAATAAAACACAACCTTTTAAGGTTTGTGTTGACATGATGAAAATAGGACTGCTGTTATTCACTGCCCCATTTCTCAGTCGTTTATTCAGGGCCCTTGGCAGACACAACAGTAAAGAACTCTTGCTTTTGGTGGTGGTGGTGGGGGGGGGCAAAAGTTCAGGGATAAAAGGGATCACTCGGGAGATTACTCCCCTGTACATATCACGGATGCCTAGAACACAAACAAAGAGCATTATGTTGCTCAGCCTGTAGCTGCAGAGCGCATGTTTGTGTGAGAGCAAGTGCTTCTTTAACCTCACCCTCCCATTTGCCTTTTGCTTTACCAAATGAAGCATTAAGCTGCCTTTGTTTTTCCGTGTATGTATTCCCCTGCTACCATAGGGTTCTCCTTGTAGCTATTTAAATGAATCATCTCTTTTTTCAAGCATCCACTCAGCACAGTGTTTTTCAATCAGATTAGTACAGCACATTCTGTTCTGTTTCACTTCCTGATGACTGTGCAGCCCGTATCCCTGAATGAACTCACCCGCGTGCTTCTGGTTACACCAAGATACTCATTCAGACAGATGGATTCTTGCAACTGCCAGTCAGATTTTTGTACTTTACACAGTATTTAGCAAAATCTGTTGGACACCTATCAGATTTGCTGTTTACTGTTTTGTTTTAGCAAAGATTAAATGACTTTCCGATGCAAAGTGATAGGTAAGTAGCAGTAAGAAGGCCACAAAGTTCTAAAAATAAGTTACAACTGCATGTATAAAACAGCCACAGACCATTGATGTAACCTTTGACCATCTAATTTTCATTTGTCTTCTTCTTTTTTTCTCTCGCCTGCCTGGGTGCTTTCACCAGAACAGAAACAAGATGTTCTTGATGTTTCAGGAAGGAAAACAACATCTCAAGCCATGTGTCACTATACATATCTATTCATGCATCTCAGTTCAGCCCAAGCCTGTTTAGTTCATTTTGACCTCCAGTTAAGCATTGCAGTGTAGGGGAAAAGAAGACAGACAAAGTAACCAGGACGCCACAGTTCACGAATTTTGGTAAAACAAACAAACCAACCTTTGCCCGTGCAGGAGTTAACCGTCCTGACATGGTGTTTTATTTTAGATAATCAGTACTATTATTTTAAGGGTTTCATGTGGGCAGTGACACATAGTGAGGTTGTGTTTTTACATCTTTCTGCTTCTGTGCTGTTTTTTTTTTCTTTAAATGTGAATAACATGTTCTAAAACACATGTGTGTGAAAGCTACTTTCTTCCGATAACCAGATGCTCAGAAGATTACTCACCCCAGCTGACAATATCCCTGTTGCGTTTGCAGAGTCAGGTTCACTTGTGTTATGTCACCTATATAATTAACAGGATCATCATGTTCCCTCTCAATAGCAGCTTGCTGTCTGCCAGCAGTGTGGTCAGACAGTATCCTTACCACCTATAATGGTGGGATTCATCATCTAGAGAGACGAGGCTCTTTGAGCATCTCGGTTCTATAAAGGAAAGTTTTCCTCTCGCTGTCTGACATGAACAAATTTTGGTTAAGTTCTCGTTAATGATTCACTCATAACATTAATTCGAGGCATATTTTATAGTTTTTAATACAATAAATGTGATAAACATAGACACAAGAAGCAGCCATAAAGCATGTCATATTTTCAGCACTGTTTATTGACATATTAATGCCAACATCCTCAACCGCAAAAGCACAAAACAAGGCCATAAAAAACTTTTATTACCATGGATTTTAGCTTCTCTTATCCCCAAAGTAAATGTGTCAGTAAAAAATAAGTTCATCCTAGAGATGTGAAAGAGAAAACATATTAACCATGAATGTGATAATAAGCAAACACTTGCTTTAATCATGTATAATATAAAAAGCAATATAAAAAGCCTAGAAATGAGATAAAGGCTGTTTGAACACAAGATTTCATCAGCATGCAGAGTGTGCATCTGGGGTTTCCACATGACGAGAGCTTTCAGCCTCCTTACAGGCTGTTTAGGAGTCATGGTCAAAATATACTCAAACACATGCCCTTTGGAGAAGAACATGACCACTGTGAAAAGTTTGATTACAACATAAATCAACTCCTGCTGGGTTTTTATATATATCATTCTGATAATATTTTAAAAATATTATATTAAAATACTCTGTGTTGTGTCTCTCACGTTCATCTCTTTTGGTGTGTGTTTAGTACTTCACTACTATTTTGACTTCTTGTATATTTCAGGTGAAAACTGTCTCTCCCTGATAACTGCGGTCTTTCTTGACCCGGACAAAATTTGACTTGCAAAGCATCCTTCATAAAATGCAATGCATTTCATGCTCACCTGAAGCAGGTTGCTACTTTAAGTTGTTATGTAACATTTTGCTTCACAGTGAGCACTTTAGATATGTGTTAGATGTGACACTTTTTTCTAATCCTGTTAATATGGAATGCATAATGAATCAAAACGACTTCAGTAACTAAATTACAATTTACAATTTTGAATATTTATTATTTTATTTTTCATGTGGATTTCCAGGTTAAAAAGCAACTGCCAAATTATAATGTGTTTATAGTGCCTCATTACATATGGTAACACTTAGACAATAGTATTTTTTTTAGGTTTTTACTTTAATTAAACTTTGAAGACTTTAAGAAGAACTGTACTTTACAGTAAGTAATTTTCATTTTGTAATTTACTAGGATACAGTAGCAATTATTAGACTACAGTAATGGCTTAGACAGGTTTAACATACTGGTTCTCTAGTGAGCATCCACATCAGAGTAAAATACTGAATGATTCACTACAAAATATGAAAACTATTGTATCGGGAGGTTAATGATTAATAATGATTTATAGGATGAGACAGGATTAGGCATATTCACCATCTGTTCTTGGTTTATTACATTGATTTATCATTCAGCACTTTGGCAGGGACTGCCATTATGTTCCCTCACAATGAGTACTTCTACTTTTAATAATGATTTATAATAATAATAATAATTTATAGGAACGTATAGTTCCCAAAATTTGACTTGCAAAACAAGAGTTAATAGAATATGATGCGCATCACTAGAATACCATAATACTAGAATCACACACAGCACCACCTGAACCGTGTTTATACATTTAAATGGACGCCTAACACACTGGCAGGACTTTTCACTGTTACTGGTTTGACAGCAAAACAGCTGTCGCCAAGATTTTACTTGCAAAGTTGGTAAAACAATAGCTTACACCACGTAGTGAGAATAGAGAATTAGTATGTAACATGAGGAGTTTGATTTTTATATCTAACTTGATTGAGTGGTATTTTTTTCCAACTAGTAAAAGATCTTCATACTTTGTTGCAAAGCCGTAAACACGACAATAATGTAAACACAGACTGTTTGGGAAAAGATGACAAATTATCTCCGCCCAGTAAAAATGCCAACATGGAAAAATACCACCAGGAATTAATAAAAGAAACAATAGTAGAAAAAAAACATGCATGCGCTTTTGTAGAAGTCCTTACCCTGAAATAAGTGACAGTAAACTGTCCTTTAAGCCATAAAAGTCTCCGATAAGTAAATATGCTACTCCCCCCCCCCTCTTTTCTTTGTAAGTCTACAGAAACAGTGCGCTAATCCGTATCACCGCGCGTCTTATCGGGCAGTGAGGTGTGCTTTTACTTCGGTGATTACACATCCTCGTCTGTGTCTGCAGGCGGGCTGTTACACAGTACTGTTGACGATACGTGTCGTCAGCTGAGCGGGGAGGACAGCCTGCTGCGGTACAGGCTGTTCCCGGCCTGGCTGTCTCGGCACGGAACGGGTTACAGGTCAGGGTGTCTATTGGAACACAGTGTTCTCATCAGCAGCGGCAGCGGTACAGCTACAGTACAGCCGGAACATTGTGTTACTTTGTGGCTGCTTTCCAAGACCTGCCCTTAATTTTACTCTAAACGTCCTCCCACAACTCTACTCGTTTCGACCCCCCCTCTCTCTCTTTCTCTCTCTCTTTTCTTTCTCTGTGTGCTTCTCTGCCTCACTACCTCCCCGGTGTCATTTTGAAGTCTGAGCTCCATGTGGCTACTACTACACCGGCAGGTTTATCGTCACCGGCAAAGACGGAGATTAAAAAAAAGAGAGCGGGAAGGAGGGATAGCTAGACTGAAAGAGCGCTGCTTAATAACCACATGGGCAGAACATTTAGTACCATGGATATGAGATGAGAAGGGCGGGCTTGAATTAGGTGAAAGAGACGCGCTTTTCCAATTTACCGACCGACTCGCTGAAGAAATTATTATTATCGGATCACAAGAACATGTAAGTGATTTAATTTACTCCTCTTTATTCTGCTGCTGACGGACTTAATTAAGGAGCTAATTAAGGCATATTCATGCCTGGCTGAGTTAAACTGACACTTGTGATACATCGTGAAGGTTTAGCCTTCATTGTATTTAAAGTCTGCTTTTTAAAAGCACGCACACACACACACACACACACACACACACAAAATAAAGGCTGATAAGGCACTGTGCGCGCGCGCGTGTTTGTGGGGGGTGGTGGGGGTTAATAGGTGAAAGTGTGTGTGTGTGTGTGTGTAAATGTGGCACTTAGCTGTGGGTCCCTGTGGAAGGGAAGGATGAGGATAACAGTTTATATCTAGACTACGTGGAAGCCTAGGTGTACCTACATAAATTACAGGTTGTGTAACTGTTTCTGAGAATTACACCAGCAACTCTGGCGCTCGAGCATTTATTTTGGAGCACTTAAACATTACAGGATATGATGGTGGCCCCTTGAATAACTTCAAATACACGGGCGTCCCCGCACGGGTAGTTTGATTTGAGGCTCAAGCAGAGGTGGCCTTGTAAAACAGAGGCTGAGGCGACATCCCAGAGATGAATCAAACTGCCTCAAGGTAGATACGGAATATAGATAAACTGGTTGTTGTTGTTTTTTAAAAGCACTGAAATTTACGATATATTATTTTATAAAAAAGGGGGGTTCTCTGTTACCTTTTAACAAAAAAAAATCTATTTTTAAGGTTTGCAGTGTCAAATTTCACGTCAAATCTATTTTTGCCAGCATTTTCAAAGAGTCAACTCCTGTCGCTTTTTAAACTCTGCAAAGGGTTGTTGGGTGAAAGGGAAAAATCCCGTATGTCAAACAGTGCTTTGGTTCAGGATGTCTGTTTGCCATGCACATTGTGTACTCACACGTTCACATATTAATCAGCAGACTACGGATATGAGGCAGAACGTACAGATAGGCTGAAGTGTGTGTGTCTTTGTCTTAATGTGCTCTGTTCCTGTATTCCTCTGCAAAGTAGCTGTACATGTAGTCTACATGCCATCATCTCTGTGCTGTCACTGCTTGTGCACTGTTCCTCTTTACATTGTTAGATATAGTTGGATATTTATCATAAAGAAAAAGCAAAAGCTAAAAGGGTCAAATTGATAGAACACACAACTTTTACTTGAAATGATGCTAATATATGTCTGCATTCACCTACTTGTTTTACCCTATTTAAATCATATGTTAATCTAATTGTAAATATAGGTTCTGTTTGACTTGTTTAAATCACCTTGTTTTGGTTTAAAAATTGAAACTGGGCTGTACGTGAGGGGGTCTCAGATTGGTGAACACCGACAGGCTTTGCCAGCGGGGGAACTGTGAATAGAAGGAACATTGTGTACAGACACACAAATGCACACACACATGCACGAGATACATCTAAAACCAAATCCATCAGATATCAAAGACACAAGACAAGATGCTGCTAATGAGGGATGGACAGTTTGTGCTCAGTGCACAAACACTTTGAGGGGAGACACAAGGCTGAAGAACCAGAACAAACAGTGCAAATGTCAGTAAAACAGATCTTTATGGTTTCATCTTGTGGTTTGAGGCACTCAGGTTGCGCCATAGTTTACGTTTCCTAAGATCTCATTTAGTATGAGGTCAATTTCTTTATCGGTATTCATTACACTGGACATGTTGCTTATTGCTGAGACTCAGACCAAGTGCTGTTGCTTAATGTTAGTTTTTGCAGGCTCTTTGTCGCCACAGCAGAACATAACGTAAGACAGGGCGACTGATGGAAAAATCGAGAAAACTGATGCAGGGTAGGCGAGCTGCTGCTCCTCTCCAGTAAAACAACATGCCACCCGAAGAATGGTTATTGCCTCAAATAAAGTCTGTGGAAATTTTAGAACTGTCGTCTGATCAGCAGCTGTGTCCTTGTCACTGCATCCCTCACGTTACTCTGAATGGACACTTGCACTTTTTATTTTGACTATTTGAAACAGTCTGTCCTGACAGCCCTACCTAAACTTGAGCTAGAAACGTGGTGCGATGTGAGAAGATTTCTGCTTGTGACATCACTGAGATAATCTTGTATCTTCAACATCTCTGCTTAAAAAACAGGCGATACAAAGGTTGCCTTCACATAAAATCCCCTTTCTCACGGCTTCCCAGCATACAGTCAGCAATCTAATCATCAAAAACCAAAGCAGTTGAAGTCAAATATTTTCTTTATTTGCTCATTCTAAAACAAATATGTTTACATTTGCTTGTCAGTGGGAAAAATATAAATTTCAAGTATATTGCGCAATACGTTATTGTGCTGCTCAAAGATTCGCTGCACTGTAGAAGGCTTATTTAAAAATAAATAAATAAAGGAAAGACCTTAATTATGTTCAGATGAAGTATAACTCTATGAGTCCAAACTGGCTTGATACCAAGAGGCCATTTTAGCTCGAAATGGTATACTTCTACATATAAAAACATTTTAAAGGAAGCGTTTTACAAAGGAGATGCAGCACTGTGGTGCAGCCTCGGCAAAGAAGACCACCGTAACGACCCTTCTCCCCCCACATACCCTCATAAAAATCCGTTTGCCACTGCATTAATTGGTTTACTTGACCACCCATTAAACAATAAATAACACCATAGACAAAAAAACATGTCTTAGTGTTTAAATGACAAAGGATTGCAATAAATACATAAATTATTCAACAATACTCTGTTAGAGATTCTCTCACATTAAAAAATACAGCTGTTGTTCTTTGCATGTGGGGCTTCTGTAATCTAACTACGGAGCCCCAGTGAGGCGACGGTTCTATACTATACTCTACACTTCTCATTCTTTGACCCTACCTAAGTAGCTTTGAATGATTTACAATTCCTTATTTATGTCCTTATGGTGGGGCCATTGGCGCATCTCCAATGTTCAACCGCTGTGATGACCGTATAAGAGATGTCATACTAAGCCTGAGCTTTTGGTGTTTTACAGGCATTACTTGCACATATGCTCATCTCATTTTTTTTGAATCTTTAATAGCCATTTGTATGAGAGAAACTAAGGAAAAGCTTAATAGGTCTCCTTTAAGAGAGTTTTATAGTTATCACTGCAAAATGTGCCAATAGGAGAGCCTAATTAGAAGCTTCTCTTTTTGTTAGGAGACCAAAGGGTGTTTGCTTAGTTTGCCTCTCTGGACAGTGTGTTTCTGAGTGTGGTAAAGCCCCCAAAACCTGCTAGCCTTAGTAACATCCCTAGCACAATGATATGTGAGAAAGTGTTAATGTGTCAACAGCTGCATATGATAACAATCACCAAACGGTGTTTGCCAACATGCTTAACATAACTATGTGGCCTTTTTTCAAACAATGTCAACATTATTGTGCCAGAGGAGATGGTAGTTTTGTGTATGGGGGAAGCAGCATGCAGACAGTGATTGCTGCTTTGATGAGAGAAGCAACATGTCCAACATGTCATTACAGTTTTTATGGGTCTGGCAAAGCTGCTATTGAAATTATTGCCAGCAAGCCTTTCATCAGGCTGAATATTAAGTGTTTTTGATATAGAAAGCTTTTTTTTAACAGCAAGTTTATTATTTGTAATTTGCCATCTTTATACTCTTGAATTTAGCCAGTTTACGTATTTGGCTGCTTGTGTTTCCACATTTTGTTAAAACTATTTTTGTCCAAATCTAAAGTACTTTGGTGTGAAGAAACCGAAGCTTTGTATCGTCTCTGGTTTAAAACATTTCCAATAATCTTTGAACTCTAATATTTTCGGTTAGGTGTCAGTGCTTGTACTGTCAGCAGCATAACAGAAATTCACATGACACCTAGTTGTGTGAAATTTTTAATCTGACATCGATGCCGCTCTTGATTCACAAGAGACAATGTTTGAGCTGTATCACATTACCAGAGAAAGCCAGACAGTGTGGGGCCTCATGTTGTGATATTTTATTAGTGTATCACCTCAGATCCTTGACTGAATTCAACACTTTTAACTGTGTCATCATAAACACTGGGAAGATCATGTGGCTGTTTAGGATGCTGCAGGTTTAGCGTTGCGGTGTGTGTTTCCCCTGTGCATGTGAGGCTTTTAGATGGAAGGCTCTGCTACGTTAAAAAGGCTTTTTAAAAAATAAACAGTAAAACTATGCGAATGAGGTTCTGAAGAATTCATTTTGGTGTCCAATAAAAATCCAGATGTGTTTATATATTTTTCCAAGCACACACAAAGGTCATTAAGTAATGGTCTTGGAGATACACACTTTGCGAGTACTCCGTGTACTCTGTAAGTACAGAGTGTGCTACAAAATAAAATGAGTGAAGTGAGCAACTTGCTGTTTGCTTTCACTTAGATTCACAGTTATGTGATTACTTTATCTGTTGGGGGGGGAATCAGAAAAGGTGCCATAGCCTGCAAATGTGTTTCTCTTAAAGCTGGGATCAATGATGATGTGGATGCTGCTAACAATAACTGTAAATGTATTTCTTGTACAAGATACTGATTTAGAGCATGTGTCCCTAAAATAGCTTCAAGTTATATAAGGTGAAGTAACAGTAATATTCGGTGGGTGGATTATGGTGATCACATTGATATTTTTATCCCATATCCTGATTTTTCTAGCCCTGCTCCGCAAATTTGATCTATATTATACATAATTTTCCTGTTTAAACATGAGATGCAAGGAAATTTAATGACCAAGCAGTCAGTCAGATAGCTAACATCTACGCTTGTGTGTTTGTATCGTTGGCAGTGTTATACTATCGGTTTTCCACGCGCAGAAATGACAACTGATCAGGATTTGCCAATGGATCACCAGTCAGCCACAGCCCTATTTGCTGCAAAGGGCATTGATGTAACAACCAATAAAGACCAAGGAGTTATCAAGGTATTTACAATACTGTCATCATGTGACTGTTGACATTCATTCACAAGTAGGACTCATTTTTCCACCATATGGAACATCATGTTTTTTTTTTATCTGTTCCCTTTTAGATCTAGGAGTTATCTTTTTTATTTTCTTTGTTAAATGGTAGAAGCTTTTATTGTTAAAGGAGACACTTGTCTTTCTTTCTGCAGGTTATAAAGCGTGCAGGGGTAGATGGAGACAGGCCCATGATTGGGGACAAAGTAATGGTTCACTACACTGGGAAACTGGTCACTGGGAAGAAATTTGACTGTAGTCGAGAGCGCAAAGAGCCCTTTTGTTTCCATGTGGGCAAAGGTAGGTGACTGGCATGACTGTCTCTAACTGTTGATAAATTAAAGGTAAATGCAGTATTGTATTATATTTTGCTACCAAGGAGCCAGTCTTTGTAATTCTGTACCTTTAAGTAGTTTCAACCAATAGTTCTCCAGAATTTTGGAAGGTCTTTCAAAGATGTTCATGATGTATATTTCCTTCACTTATTTTCAGTCCAGTCCTTTAATTTACATAAAAAATTCAACTACTATGCCAGTTTGAGAGGCATAGTAGTTTTGCGACAACACACTACTGAAAACTTGCAACCCAATATCACAGCAATATGTATAATTCATATGTCGGTCCACCGTATCCATTTCACACTTTACTTTTTCAAAGCGTGACATGGACGTGCATACAGAAGTCGCAGTACCAGCAGGGGGAGATAATATACTTAAAGGCAAGAACTAGCTAGTGAGTAAGGAAGGTATGAACTGTATTCCAGGGCTCTTAATTGCCACTAATGATTAAGGTAGGCAGGCAATACGTATTTACATGTAAATGTGTTAGCAATGTCTGTTTAAACACTTTCCTGTGATTAATTTCAAGTTGGACTGAAATAAAATATCTTCTGACGATGCATGTCAGATCCTTGTATTAACTCCCACATTTGCTTAATTTAATCAGATTAGTTTACCTAAGCAGTATATATGGAAAGATGCAAGGCTCTCCATTTCAAGCGAAAACAAATCAGCCTGTCAGAACTTTGATTTTTTTACGCATTAAAAAAAAAGACATATAATTTCAATAAGTAAGCTTTAGAGATGCTGGCTGATTTGTTGAACTCTTTCAGTCTTTAAGCTAAGCTGGATATTTTATATTTACAAATATCAACATTTTCATGTAATCCTCAGCAAAATGATCGGTTTGAAATGTGTGCAGGAAAAATTGTTGCTTTAAATTTATATATCTGAATGATGTAATATAACCTTTGAACTTATCGAACGAGCCAACAAAGTCTTGTTTAATTGTTTAAATATTTTTGATCTACTCACAGGACAAGTCCTCAGGGCTTGGGACATTGCTGTGTTGTCCATGCAGAGAGGAGAGGTGTGCACACTGCTGTGCAAACCCGAGTATGCTTATGGAGCTGCTGGAAATCCTGACAAAATTCCTCCCAGCTCTTCAGTAGTATTTGAGGTAGGCATGTCACATTAGCACTGTCATTTGTGTGACGCATTAATCCAGCATTGCACTGAGGGCCTTAATTTAGGAGCATGTCTCTGCAGATGGAACTCGCTGGTCACAAAATTAACTTGTCTATTTTAATCCCCCTCAGTCATACAGCCAGCATAGTTTCATATACCACCTTTACAAGTGTGTTTGGGGCTCAGTGACACTACAGTTCAGATCTTCTCTTTCCTGAATAATCAGTGTTAAGTATAATTTAGTTTTCTGATCTGCTTTTCATGTTGGCCCCATTAAATGCAATATATTCATGAAAAAGGATTGTTTTACTCTCCCAGTTGGTGATTCAACTCAGTTCAGCTTTCACTTTGTAGGCTCATCAAATGTTGCTCAAGCAGACATAATCAGCTAATAAATTTATCAATATATGTTTTTTATTTATAGTCTTAAAAGAGAGTATAAAGGATTATAAAAAAACATTACCAAGTTTTGCTCTCATTGAAAAAAATAAACATACACTGAAAAAGTATGAACTACTTCAGTATTTAGCACATATGAGAGAGCTGGATATGCACTGCGTAGAATGCTCCACATTCGGTGGTTTTCTGGTTGTTCATATTGTTTCACGTACTCAAATTGTGTGCACATGTCTGGTTTTCATGTGCACAGGTTTTGAGACTACTGGGACATCATACTTAACCCCAAACCTGACAGAACTTTGAAGTTTGCATTCCAGCCAAACACCAAGAGAGTCTTGGGTTTGCAGATGTAGTTAGTTATCCTTAAAATGCTTGAGCATTTATAATTTTTTAAACATATATACAGAAAAAGTTAAATTTAATATTCTTTCCCAACTTTAAACCGATCTACAGTGAAATAAAACAGATAAAACTGATGTTTTCATACGTGAGACTTGGTTTTCTTAGCTAGCTGGCTAGTTATGACATAGAAGGCATAGAAACAGTATGTGTCTGGTTACACAGTGTACTTGCTTCATTTCTTATTATTTCATTACCATAAGTCATTAATTTTTTTATTTTCAGTGATAACTCCTACTTGTTTTTAGTTATGTATTAATTCACCTCCCACACCTACTGAAAGTTCTGCAGAGCTGTAATTTTGTATTTTGCGTTGTCCCACCATTTGTATAGTGATGGCATTTCTATGTTCACACAGTTGGAGCTAATTAAGTTTGAAGGCGAGGTACTTACAGGCGATGGTGGAATTGTGAGAAGAATAAAGGTCAAAGGGGAAGGTTACACTAATCCCAACGATGGATCAATTGTGAACGGTAACGACATGATTTGTTTGTTCATCAATAATTGGCATTGTGCCAGGTTGATAAACGATCTGTATAGTAATTGACAACATCATAGATTAAATTGTGCCCTGTGTCTCACAGTGCACCTGGAGGGAAGGTGTGGTGACCGACTGTTTGACTGCAGGGACGTCAGCTTTATTGTTGGTCAGGCTGAAGATAAAAGCATTCCTCTGGGAGTGGACCGAGCCATGGACAAGATGCAGAAAGGAGAGTGCTGTTTACTTTACTTAAAACCAAAGTAAGTTCCTAACAAATGTAAAAATGTCATGTCACTTTGTTAATGAAATACAATCAGTAATTAGTTATGTGCGCTTTGTTTATTATTATCTCATGAAATTTTTATTTAAGGTGTCTTAACTGTAGGACTGTAGGTTCCTGTAAGATGATGATAACTTTAATTTAATTATTTTATATCTCATTTTTATTTCATAAATATCAAAGCTATTAAAGCTTTTTTTTCATGTAATTTTATTGTATTTTTCAATATTTCTCAATAATTAAAAAAAAAACAATATTAGTGATAAACATTAAATATAATGAAGTCACTTATCAGCTAACAAAGGAAGAAACCTTAAAGGAAATATTTTCTCAATATCTGGTTCAGAGCTCTCTATTTTTGCAGATGTAAACAGACTTTTCACTGATATAATAAAATCTTTCTTTTACACTATTAAGGTTACAATTACATACAACATTTGCATTTTTTTGGTTTATTTAAACCTTTCCATTAAGTACTACACACCATTTTTTCGAGTATATATATGTCAGTGCATATCATACATATAAGTGTGTATGTTCTGTATGTTCTGCAATTGATTTATATTTATTCGAAACACTCAAAATATATGCCCTGTATCCATATTCAACTTCACTGAAAGCAGTTGTCCAATGATATCATTCAGAAATTCAGATCTAAAAAAAGTTAAATAAAATTCCTTTGATGTCATTTCAAAGGGTTTGTGTGTTTATTAGAAATGTTTGATGGTTATAGCATGTGGGGAATTTTCAGCAGCAGTTTCAAATCATGTCACAAATTGGAGCTTGAATGTCAAGTGGTTCGGGTCAACTGTTGACACAGATGTTGGTATGCAGAAATGGCATGCTTCAAAATAGTAATTATTGGTTAGTATAATCAGGTGGTCATTTATATGCTTACAGGTATGGTTTTGGAAGCGAAGGCAAACCAGAATACAAAATAGGACCAGACAAAGACATCGTATATGAGATTACTCTTAAAGACTTCCAAAGGGTGAGCACTAGTTTCTACATAATAAGATGAGATGAGACTGGAATAAATGTTGTTTGACAAATGTGTTTAAGTAAATGGAATAAATGTGTTTAAGTTTAGTTGGAGGCAAACTTGATCTCATAGATTTTATAGACATATTTTCAGTTCACTAACTCCAATTAAAAAAAGTCATTATGCTCTTTCTGTGTTTTCACAAGGCTAAAGATTCCTGGGAAATGGACTTGAAAGAAAAGCTAGATCTGTCTGCTGAAGTAAAAAGTAAAGGGAATCAGTATTTTAAGGTACAGCTCCTGGTGCTCACTCAAGCCAGTAAATGATTTATTTATTTATTTTTAGATCTTAGATTTATAAAGATATATTCTGTTCCTTCATCAGGCAGGGCGGTATTACCAGGCAGTCATCCAGTACCAGCGCATCATTTCTTGGCTAGAGATAGAGTATGGTACCGGAGATGTGCAACAGAAGAAGATACAAGATTATATTCTGACTTCCCACCTTAACTTGGCCTTGTGTTTCCTGCGATTAAAAGAGTTCACACAAGCAGTGGACAACTGCAACAAGGTGAGCTGATGTCTGCCCATCTCCTGTACGTGTAGCTGATGAATGTTTAACTACTACTATACTATTACTGTACTGTTCATTTATTTTGTGTCCGTTAAAGGTCATTGAGCTTGATGAAAACAATGAGAAGGCTTTGTATCGTCGTGGGGAAGCCCGGCTCCGCCGCAATGAGTTCAGCCTGGCCTTGGCAGACTTTCAGCAAGTACTGCAAGTCAACTCAGCAAATCGAGCAGCTCGTGCTCAGATTTCCATTTGTCAAAGCAAGATTAAGGAACATCACGAAAAAGACAAAAAGACCTATGCTAACATGTTCCAGAAATTTGCAGAACGGGACGCCAAGGTCTGTAGACAAATTTAGAAAGTCAGCATGACTTGTTTTTGTGTTTTTCTCTTTTCCTTTCCTTTCTTTTTTCTTTTCTTTTCTGACATGTTTATGATCCTTTCAAGTAAATGTACTTGAAAATACTTAAAAAAAATAAGTAATAATAATTAATAATAATAATGTAATTAATCTAACAAATATTCATATAGCCCCATTTAAAACACTTTTTTTCTGATGCTTTCCTGGCACCGATAGCAACTAAACTTCAGAACTGTTAGAAAGTGGGGAAGACAATTTTGCATTTTTCATCTTTTAAGGACAACCACATTCTGTCACACCTGTCAAAACGTTTGCATTTACAACTAGTTTTCAGCCATTTCGTATTTCATGATGTGAGATACTCGTGCACTCTGAAGACATCCACCACTATGTGCTAGAATAATGTCAGAATGATTTGGTGTTTACTACACGAGCCATAGATTTAAAAGTTTTACATTGGAAGAATGTTTTAAAAAATGTTTATGTTTATTTATTTGTAAAATTGTCTGGCTGGATTGTTCATGTACTTCTTCAATGTTATACTGACCTCTAGTGGTTAGGTTGATTCTTTCACCCATTGATCTCTGTTAAAGTAAGGTAAAATGCCATGTGCAAAAAAGCAAGATTACATAACAATATTAACTGCATGTATCTAAATGATGATGTCAGTTTATGCCATTGGACGACACGGCCAAACTCACTGGCTGTGTAGAGTCCATGATTTGATTTTTCTTTTCACAATATTTCTATCAGTTTTCCTTTATAGGAAATTATCTTAATGTATATTTTTCAGTCATTTGCAATTCAACTGAAGCCCTGTATCTTCTGAACAGACTGGGAAGACAAAGAGAAGGCGGGATGACAGTGCGAGGACCAGCTTCAATGGTGAAGTGAGCATTAAACAACGCCGGAGGAGTCAGGAATGCCCGTCGTAATGGGGACATTTGAAAGGGATAAGAGAAAGCCTCTTTTTGCTTTCCAAGTCCAGGGAGCAGAGGCAAGAATGAAGATGAAAAAAAAAGCCTCCAAACCAAACCCTTTTTTTTATCCCAAAATCCAGCGTGACCATTCCTGCATATAAAGCAGACTGTAAGCAGGGACATTTGCAAGCCAAACAGCCTTTCCCCTGTCACAAGGACTATTGAACTGCTGGAGCGTACCTTCCAGTGGAGACAGAAACATTGAGTTAAGACTGGCAAACACTTTTAGCCCTCACCTTTTATCCTGAAAGAATATATTTTTATTTTCCTCAAAATGCAAGAAACACAATTACTTTGTCCTTAGGCTACTGTGTTGAAGTGCCTCCACAGTGTTTCTGATTGTAAAACCACGTTCATGATCTGTATTTGTTTTTAAGCCTGTTTGGAGCAGCTGCATGCATCACAAGGTGTTTTTGATTCAGACTTGAACTTTGCTAATTTTATATGTGCAATATGTACCTTTGGTGTAACAAGTCCTGTTAGTATGGTGAGTTAAAAAAACAAACAAAAACAATAAATTCAGTATTTTTGCTTTGGCCAAAACTTAATACTGTCATAAATAAAATAAGCCGAAGAAAATCCTAGTTGCTTTTCTGAGATGTAAAATTTACTGTATTTGGTTATTGCGTGTAACTTCTGCTTTCTGTGAAGCCAAATTAGTTTTGGTGTTTATCAACACCTGCAAGACTTTGGCATGGAGTGCCTATTTTTACATATAAAATTCAAATTCAGCTTTTGTGTTTCGGGCAAGAATTATTTATTTTCCTAAGATGTGTCTGAAAGTGGTCATGCACTAAAATAATTTATTCCTGTTTTGAGGTATTCTTAAAGACATGAGTCAATAACGCACACTTTATTTTGTAAAAAGACACTTTGGTATTGTAATTGATCAAGTAAAAAAAAGATGACAGGGAGAACTTCACAATTTAAGTCTGTTTAACTGATGGCAGCTGTAAAAACATTAAAGGCGAAATAATCAAACTGTATATAAAATTGAATATTTCTCCTACTGAGCTTGAGTTGAATTTAGTGAATAAGGAGTCAGTCTTTCTTCTTCTGGTGCATTCATCACATTTTCTGACCTGTTTACTCTTATCAGGCTAAAGGCATAACTTTTAGAGCACATAAAATCATAATTTAGAAGGTAAATACATGAAGCATTCATTTTGCAGTCTTTTTCACCATATAGAAACGTATTTTTTAGAATGTGATCAGCTATGTTGGTGCAGTCTGGAAACAGGTTTTTCTTTATCTCGACAGTGTGAATGTGTATCAGACAACTGTCCACTTTGGTAACTGTAAAACCAACACTGTTTTCTTTTCATAAAATATCTGGACAGAGTCTGGACAATAATATTGAAATGTTTTATAAACATTGGCTGGTTCAGAATGAAAACCTTAGCTGTCTTAAATATGTTGTGTAAAACAATTACCTGTATGTGTGTGTGTGTGTATGTGTGTGTGTGTGCTAGTCTATATTATTGTTGTGTGGTTTGTAAGAAGATTGTTGCTAAATGTTTTTAACTACTGCTGGCTCTAAACATTTAAACAGTTTGTGCAGTGTTGAATAGTAGTACTTTTTTCTAGCTTTTATAAATTGTACATCGTAATGTACGTACTATTTAACCACACTTTCAGCTACATCTGAAAGATCTGTAGAAGTTAGAAGTGCTGGAGAAATTTTGGCCTACAAGTGAAAAAACAGTGGCTTGGCTAATGTGAGATTAGAGATATGACATAAAATATGTTCATATGTATTTGGAAGATCGTTGGCATGTAGACATAAGATATATTTTCACACAAAACCCCCGCAAAATGCATATGGTACCTTTGTTCATGTGTTCTTCATATATATATATATTTTTTTTTACACTCTAAAACCAAACAAATAAATAAATAAATTAATCTGTTGTATTCAAATAGACAGATCATCTTCTAGGCCACTATTTTATAATCTAATTATATTTTTAAAGTGTTGAGACACTATTAATCAGATTAATCAAATACACAGTTGTGTCTACATTAGGCACACCTCCAAATATGGGGTTACACCCACTTTTGCCTCCAGAACGGCCTTAGTTCTTCATGGCATAGATTCAACATGATGCATGTATTTTTATATTTGAAATTCAGAACAAGTTTTTGAAAAAGATCTATCTAGCCATCCATTTTCTTAAGCTTATATCATTGTGTGTCACAGGGGGGCCCTCTGAATGAGGGTCACCAGTTTATTACATGGCTTGAAAAAAAGTCTCAGCAACATTAATTACACACCTGGCTTTTAACACGTTTCATCATCTACCTGTTGAATTCGGGTCCAGTTTTCACACAGTCTGAGCTCTGTACAGATAAAAAAAAAAAGGAAAAAGCTGTTTTATATTCAATAATGGTGTCCAGGCACTAAAGTAGGACAGTAATCCTTTGTGTTAGAAGCTTCTGTAGATTTGTTTTTCTGTGTGGCTGTGGCCAGCTAACCTGTGTTAGTTCTGAAGGTTACCACTCTTTCAGCCAACTGCAGTCTACAGTATATAGGCAGATAATATGTGAGCCATTAGAACTGCTAACCAACCCCTAGGTGGTACTGGTAAGACCAGTATAAAGGATAAATTTGGCTTTAGCGTTACTAAAGAGTGTTAAATTCAAACTGATGACTCCTCCTAAAGCTCTTCTACTGTAGAAGCAAGTCCTGTAGCTCAGCAGCTGTGCTATAATCTACTGTATACGGGTACTTTCTGGGGCAGTTGTCTAAAGGAAATTTCATTCCAGTGGTACTGTATCATAAAAACTGTGCATACAAAATATCTAGCCAATTCAGATACAAATACAGTGATACATTTCTAACACTATCCTTAGTGATTCAAAATTTTCCCATAATTTACAATTAATAATTCTTCAGGGCTGTGTCTCTCTTTTATATCTCTGCTGTTATCCAAGTCTTAACCTGGTAGTGACCATGGATATCACAGTCTGTCCTTACTCCAGCATCCATCACCTGGAACTGTACCACAATACTACAAAGTACCCCATGTTCACTGTCCCACATAGCCTTTGAAAAACACAAAAGTACCACAATTTACCTTGCTCTCAGACATTACGTCATTGGGAAACAACCTACTTTAGAAACACATCAACTGTTCAGGTAAAAAACATAAATTACATTACACGCAATCTTTACGGATGAGGCATTCGTATCCTTGCCTTTCAAAATAATTTCTCGACATCTTCACTTACATCTTTTTCTATCGCCTTTGAGTGAACTTATCACAATGTAAGCTTTGTTTTGCCTCTCTGGAAACTACATAAACTCTACCTTTAGTTAGCACACAGACTGTAGTGACATTTATCGACCTGTGTGAATCATTGCATTTGAAATTAGGCACCACTTGAAGGAAAAAACTTCAGAATTACCATGACCACAGCTTTACTGGTGCATGCATGAGCATTACAAGGATAAGATGAAAAACAAAGATGTTTGCAGTAGTGTTTTACTGTCTCTGTGGTATCAGCTGAAAAAAACTGGGTGTTCGATTTGATTACTCATTGCATTTTTCTCCTCTTATTAAAAAAGGTCTATTTAGTAAACAGTTTTTGTTTTTAAAGGTTTTTCTTAGGTTAATTCATGCATCTTGGGTTAAAAAACAATGAAGGAGGGTTCATGTGATACACTGATATTATAAAGCTATTAAATGGATGATGTAGTGACACTGTTCCTGGTTCCAAGGTCAAGTATGACGTCAGATTTTAGACAGCGTGGATGAAAAAGTGGATGTCCTTTACATGTTCAAAATGAAAAAGGGAATGTTTAAAGAGAAAAGAAAAGAGTTGTATAAAATAAATCTATCATTACATATCTGCAAGACTGAACAATTCAGGTGAAGAATTAAAGGTAACCTTGTTTTCTTAAAAGCATTAGCAGAAAATTAAAATGTTCTCATGTCATTCAAGGGCACAGAAAAACTGCCATTTTTACTTTTTCAGACTCTCCTCTAGATCTGTGTAGTGACAATCAAAAAGCAAAACAGTTGTGAATTTATTAAGATTTTATTAAGTTTGTCTGTAAATGATGATTTTACCACAGTCACCTCACTGGTCATTGCTGCAGTAAATCCTAAGGAATGATTCTCATGTCAGTTTAACCAAATAGTAATAGGAAGACATGAAGAAATACATAAATAATATTGATCATATTAACATATGATTATCTCATTATAGATCATATGTAAAGAATGGCACATTGTTTAATAAAATCATTCAATTAACATTTACAAACCAAAGCTATGATTCAGTTCATCATACCAACACTTCAAAAAAAAAAAAAAAAAAAAAAAAAAACTATTCCTTTTTGTTCCTGTTGTATCTAGTGGCAACAGTGGGTTATAAAAATAAATTACAGTGTAAATGTCAATATGATTTTTCACATGAAAAAATGTGTTATTACAAAATTTGTACAGTGCAGAGGTGTGATTCAAAAGTTCAGAAAACCTTTTTAAAGAAACAAAGAAAAAACTATAAAAACAACAAAGAAAAAACCAACAACATAAAAGATTTCAAGCTGGCCTCTGACCAATCCTTAGGATCACCATTCAGGGTCGCCACTGCTTTGATTTTTAAAGGCCAGTTCCCAGAACCTTTAGATCACACTCCACATGTTATACATAAAAATGTTGCCACAACTCTCAATGACATATGATACAAAATATTAAAAATATAAATTTGGACACTCGATAAGGAAGGTTTCTGAAAAGAAAAAAAAGTTGAAAATACAGCAGAAAAATTTATTTTATAATCAATATTACCATATTGAGTTTTCCTTGGTTCTAACAGGTTTATAATACATAGCGCAGTTATCGTAATGCTGCATTTAAGGCCTACATGAAAAACCCATATACAATATTTACAGTATCAGTACTTTGTAGAGGTCACAAACACGTCTGTATTGGGACAGCCAGATGGCTCAGATAAACACAGTGTTCAGGGTTTCAATTGATTGGATGCTTATTGCTTGACAAACTCCCTTCTGTCATTGTTTTTTAGTTACAGTTTACACCATCTGTATAATTCATACTGGCCTTAAAGTAACTAAGGTGTTAGATCTGTAAGGGTTTGTCAAGTAACTGTCAGTATTATTTTACTCAAAAAACTTCTACAGCCTGAGGCCTTGACCACAACATGTAATAATACAATGTAAGAGACAAAAACACTTGGTGTACAAAAACCTTTCATTTCTACTCTCTTCTTAATAAGTGCTCATTACAAAAGGATGAGTGTTTGCAAAATGGTGTTGCTTAAAACCATAACAGGCAATAGTCCCAAAAAGACTTTGATTTAAACATGAGGCACATTTGTGCAGGTGTAAATACCCTGTGCTGTCTTTTATTTAAAAGAAGAAGGATTTTCATAATAAATACACCATTATTTTTCTCCATGATTGTAAATGCAACATTTTAATGTGACAGAATTAATCAGGCATCAACTTCTCTCCCTTCTCCAACTATGGCATCAGAAACAGTCTACCGTATGCTAAAGGTACGTAAATTTTTTCACCACATGACAAATTCCCCAGCGATTCATCACATGAATATCATGTTAAGTATTCCACTAATAGCTCTGATATAAATTGTGATTAACAACAGTGCTAGTATCATAAAGATGTACAAATAGCTGAGGTTTAAAAAAGAGCTTTGTAATCAGACACAGTGAAAGCAGATAGCTCAATATACTCAGATGAAGGTAAACCTGAAAAAAATATTCTTCTAATGAACTTTGGATGAGGAGCAATTTAAAATGTCAAATAATATGCTCAGTGCAAATGGCCGCGAGAGAAATTTCAGAACTAGTCCTTGCTGTAGAGATGGGTTATCAGAACAAACACGAACAAGACAATCGTCAGAAGCAATAATATAGAAAATGAAATCATGGCCTAAACCATTTTCTTTAAGCACAACTCCACATCCTCTCTGGTTCCATATTCTTATTTCTGACGTTTCTGTGGTTTCCTCTTCTGGTTTTGGACTGTAAATCAGATGATGAAGATGCCATCCCAAACTCAGGGAAACTACACATTTGTGCTCAGACTGTCTTTACGCAGTTTTTTTTACAATCGCCTCTTGTTTGTGTGAATTCATTCAGGTTGTAGTTTTTGGTTGAATTAATCTCACTGGTTTATAAGGCCCGTTAGATGGGGACACAAAATAAATATCAGTGTTTTAAGGGGTTAAATTCCAAACAGACTGGAATGATGCAGCGCTACAGAGGATTGAGCCACTGGATTTAATGTTAGATTTTCCTTATAACTGTGTTAATTGTTAAATGCATCTGAGTTTGCTTCACTTTTCATGTTTATTCTAGAACACTGTGTTATCGAAGGATGATGGCAAGTTAAGCAGTTCAA